CACATTCTGAACTTCACCCCTTATAAGTAGAGGGTATATTTCTCTGTAAGAATCTATGCATCATTTGTGGAAGATGACCATTATAACACCATAAAGAAGTTCTAGGGAAAAATAATTCTCAATAACAAACAAAAAGCTCATCCAGTTCTACAAGATGATCAAAATACTCACCTGAATAAAACAATAAAATGTTCACTGGAGAAAAATAACCCATATAATAAGAGTCTGTCTACTGAGAAAATGGATACTGTGTACCAAAACATCCAGGATGTTTTTGGAGAAAAAGAGAAAAACAAATATAAATAACAAACACAAACCTAAAAAAAAAGAAAAAGAGAGGAAATAATATGATACAATCAGAAACAAGCAAATTAGAACACTCACAAAGAGCAAAACACATTGAAAGTTACCATTTCATCTGGTGAAATAAATAATGAAATAAGCATCTGGTAAATCTAGTAACAGAATAGTTACATATGCATACATATGCATAAGTGTAGATACAGCTAACGTTTATTGTATTTACATGCCCAGCACTGTGCAGAATTCTTTCCATACATTATTTCATTTGTTCCCCATGATAGTCTATAAGATAGGGTAATAGGTTGAATAGTGTCCCCCCAAATTCATGTCCACTTGTAATGTAAGAATGTGACTTTGTTTGGAAATAAGGTTGTTGACATGATTAAGGAAGGGTCAGTTAAGGTGAGATCCTACTGGGCTAGGGTGGGCGGGCCTAAATCCAATGAGTGTCCTTATAGAGACAAAAAGGACTTATAGACACAGAGAAGGAGGCAGGTGGAGAAGGGTGGCAGCCACATGACAGCACTAGGAGACAACAAGAGCTACAAGAGGCAAGGAATTTCTCACCCCTATTGCCTTTGGAGGGAACATGGCCCTGCTGACACCTGGATTTCAGACTTCTGGCTTCCAGAACCATGAGATAATACATTCCTGTTGTTTTTACCAGGTTTTTGGTATTGTTTATGTAGCCTCAGGGAACTAATACAGGTAGGTAACTCTTACTCTTCTCATTTTTTAGAGGAGCAAATGGGGGTCCCAAGAGATGACATTACCCAAAATATCACAAGTAAAAGGAGACAAAAAATTTTTTCATACTTTTCCAACAAGTATTTATTATTAGTTAAGCCATGATTCAGGATTCTAGGGTGGTATGTACCCAGGTGCCCCTTTACCTCTCTGGGAGAAAGATAAAGAGAGAGGACAGGTGGGGTGTAGCCAGTTTAGGTTTTCCTAGAAAATGTGCCTTCTGCCCAGTGGTCATCCCAGGCTGACACCCAGGATATGGGGCAAAGGGACTTTCACACACGCCAGTAACATTCACATGCGGACACATCACCCCCTTTAGCAGTCATTGCCTTCTCATAGTGGTGGAATTCCTAGTAGTTCTGCCAACAGTTTCCAGTCTGGTTCTGGTTGGGGAGGCAGCTGTCAAAGGGCAGTTTTGTAGTTCTTGATTTTGGTCTTGAAGTCTTCTGCCATGCTGTTGACTCCTAAAGATGCCCTGATGCTGCTTGCAGCTCAATGTGACCCTTAGCAAAGATGCCTCCATCTGGCCTGAAGGAGCCAAAATTTAAGACCAGGTAGATTTGACTGCAGGGTCTAGGACCTTAGTCATCACAATTTTCTCTTTCTGAATAAGGGACAACATGTCCCTTGCCTGTCTTCTAATTGCCTATTTGTCTCCATTAAGAGAGAAACAGAGAGACATGCATCATAATTCCTTTCATTCCTAACTTGCAGTTGGATTTCAAGTCCTGGTCTCCCCATCAATTTCTAGACCATGAGCTCTCAAGAGGAGGATCAACACTAATTTACCTTTTTGACTATATTTGGCTTAGTGCTTCCTACAGAGAAGGGACTAAGTACTTATTGACTGAAAGAATGCACAGGCTGATCCTATTGAATCCCAAATTTGTTCTGACCCTATACAGTAGAATCCAAAATTGACCCATATCTCTTAAGTTCACCTCCATCACCACCACTCTTCTTTTCAAGAGCAAGGTTACAGAATTTTAAAATGTTAGAGCTGGAACCATGATAGCAGTAAACTGTAGTTGCTATGAGTTTGGATTCTGAGAAAGACATGAATTTAAAGCTCAGAACATTCATTTTTTTGCTGTAAAGCTTGAGAAACTATTTATCAATAACTTCTCTCAGCCTCAGTTTCCTTGTTTGTAAAATGGAAATGTTGCCCCAGAATGTTTGTGTGAATTACATAATATGATGTTTGTGAAGCTGAGCATGAATAGTACATTGTGAATGGACAATGTATCAGCTCTTATATTTATTGTTACTATCATCTAATCAATGGTTTTGCAACCTGCAGGTATCAGAATCAGGGCAAGGGGTTGGAGTTTCTAAATGTACTTGGTACAAATGTATTTTCTCAGCCAACTACCCTCATAAGGCCCTTTGGGCCCATTGATGGGGAAAGCTTGGGAAGCACTCACGCTTTCCAACCCCCAAACCAAGAAAGGCTGAATAATTTTACTATAATCACACAGTGATCTAATGGTAGAGCCTCACCAGGATTTGTAAGGATTAGCTTGAGCCCTCACATGTCATGTTGTTGGGAAGACTGCTATAAAACTCTTCTACCTCTCCCTCACCAGACCTTCCAAGAACTTTGAGAGCTTATGCAATCCAAAAAGGGAAGTATGTCAATCTTCTACTCTCCTGTAATTTTTTACTTTGTGCCCAATATGCTGCCATTTGCCTCTGACACATGGTGACGCTGTTGGGAGTGGTCGTCAGATGTCTGTGCTATCCCTAAGTCACACCAGGCCAGGGAGGTTTCTTGAAAGAGGAGTCCTTTACTAACAATTCCACAGCTTCTATGCCAAAGCACACCTACGTGCTCTCCAAGCAACCCTTAAGGCTGAGGCCTTTCAGATCTTGCCCACCCCAAAATCCCCTCTACCCTACACTGCCATTCTCCTCCAGAGTCCTACCACCTCAGAGTGGGTTTAGGCATTGGTCTCTCTTGGAACCCAAAGCCACATTTCCCCTTCTAGTCCTACCCATCATGGAGTTTGGAGGTTGTGACTAGCAATGTTCCCTTAAGTGCTTGGAACACAAAAATTTTCATTCTCATCACTTGAAGTTTAATTGTTTTAACTCGTTTATAGGAATTGAAGATTTGTGTCCCTCAGAGATTTAGTCTCTCATCTAATTCCCATTCTGAGTCAGCTCACAGACCTAAATCTAATGGAATGGGAGGTTGGTAATCTTGTGGGAGAACTTAGATAGGACACCATACATGTTATGAGCCTTATCTTAGCTTTCTCCAAAAAGTTGGTGGCTGTTTACTCAGTGAAAATATAGGAAACTTAAAAGGGGCTCTCAGATGCTGTTTAAGCAGTTACAATTCTTGAGGACTTTGGGTACTACTGCAGTTGGCTGCACAGAATAGAAGCTCATAAAGTCCAGGTAAAAGATGCACTTTGTCTGGAGTCTAGCTCATGGTTAGGTGACCCACCCCCGTGGTTCTTCCTACAGGTCATGAGTATAGTGGAAATACATGCTCAGCAAGGAGCAAAATCTCTACAGACTCTAGGGCCCATGGAGTTGGAATTATTCTGGGAAAAAAAAGACTAAGTAGAAGCCAGTGGGAGGGACTCTATACCAAAATAGTAAAGGAAGAGCAATACTGTCTATGTTTGGAGAAAATTGTGGAGTCGTGTTTCACCATAAAAGACTGGGTGAGTGTGCCTCCCAGATACATGTGGGGTGTGAACCCAAGACTAATCCCACCATAGAATTAGAGCTAACCATTGTTTGGAAAAATGGCAATGGCCACTACTGGAGGACAGCTGCACAGGAATAGTTGTGGACTCACAAAAGATACTGCTGGTTGTGGGGGAGAGCAGTGAACTGGAAGAAGACAGCTTTATTACCTCTTAGACAAGTGCTCTTTTCCCTTAATAGAAGACATCCTTAAAATTATGGCAAAAACCAATGGGAGTCATTTATTGCAGACATTTATTTCACATATACGTTTTCAAGAAGATACATCTAAGTGAACAGCAATACCAAAACAATGAAAAGAGAGACACTTATACTTGGAATACATTCAGAGGTAAGGGCTTGTAGCTACACCAGTCACTCAGACACTACTTGCACTGGGGTTTCCCCAGCTCCTTCACAGTTGAGTCTTGTCTATCACTGGGCATCAGGCCTTACAAAATAGGCTTTCTTTACTGAGATGGCTACCTGCAATTGTCTATCAAGGGAACTCAGAGGTGCCTGTAGGACATGAGGGATATTTTCCTTCTCTATTGAGCAAACTCCTCGACTGTGCACAGCATCCCTCTGCCTGAAGTACAAAATGGGCTGAGTGTGGTGGAGACACTGCGTGCAGCGGTGAGCCAGGCCGGGTAGCCTGATCTTATAAACTCTTCCTCATCCACACCATGCTCCACAGCCTCATAGAACATTAAAACTAGGGCAGTCTTGGCAATCAGGTTCAACCTCTCTTCAGATAAAGAGCTAAGACCCAGAGAGAGGATATGATCTGCTGAACAAGTCAGTATAAGTGGCACTAACAAGACTAAAACTTGTCTTTTTTGGCTTCTGCTCCAATACTCACTTCACCACGGCAGGTGGCCCTGAGCTGTGTTAGTATATGTGTGAAGTTTCCTTATTTAAAGAAGTAAGATTTCCTTCTAGATAAATAAATTAGGTTATATGTGTAATAAAGTTACCAGTAAGAACTGGAGGCATTTGTGAGAACAAGCAAGTTTGGGCAGGGAATACAAGCCAGTTTCCAAAGTGCCTTGGGTACAGTGTCAGAAGATAAAATGTCTATTTATTAGTACCATTAAAATAATAGGATTTGGGACAACTTTCAAAGAAATAAGACAGGATTAAATAAGTATAGGTTTTAGTTAGTTGGTTAAGGTAGGTTGTAAATTTTGTTGAGCTTTGCAGCAGCCAGAACAAAAAGAGAAAAAACAGCAAGTTATAAAAATCACAGTGTTTTTAAAGATATTTTTTCTTTTCTTTTTTCTTTTTGCTTAGGATCAGAGCTGCTTCCCCTGGTACTGAGATCTAAAAAAAAGCCTTTTCCTATGGATTGTCATAAAGGCAGTGCTATGCGATATAAAAGACACATAATTCGTTTGAACTTTCATGCTCCAGCTGAAAAAGGATAAAATGCAAGGAGTCTTGTCTAATGTGGGCAGAACCTTCTGTCTCTTCAGAAAGAACAGAGACAAACTTCAGTGAGTTAATTTAATATATGTCTCAGCAGCCCATTTACAATTAAGAATATTGGTAGCAGAACCCAAATTCCACCTTAGCTTGACTCCAGACATAGGAGACTAAACCAGAATCAGTTTGTCCCATTGGAGATGGATTGGGCCTAAACCTTCCCTGCCACTAGGGAAGTCTGAAAGACAGAACTAAAGAATTTTAGGCAAGTTAGACAAACTCTTTTGCAAGTGAAGGTGCTTTTCTCATGATTGGGTCATTGACTTTTGTAACTTACATGCATTAATTTGCATTACCTTTTGCTATAATAACTCCTCTATGATATTTCAAGTTCCTTGAGTACAGGTACCATGCCTCCATTTTCACTTTTGTATCCCTCACTGTGCCTAGAACATGGCCTTAACACATAATGGTGCTTAATAAATATTTATGAATAAATACCTTTCCCGAATCATGTGTCGGTTTATATAATTGTTAATCCTGTGTATTACTAAGTGGTTACTTCTATTAATGTTTACTTTCTCTAGAGCTGGAATTCTAGAACATCTACACAATATAAGAACACAGCTACTGACACTAACACATCTTACTGTGTTAGGTACACTATCAACATGAAGCTGCACTTACCATTAAAAGTCTGTGATTCAAACAACACAGGGGAAATGAATCTATTCAGATGTGAACAAGCATAACATTTTCAACAAGTATAAATCAGAACATTATCAATGTTTACCTGAGTCACCTGCCTTCCGGAAGGCTATACCCTATGCTGGCACTGTAACTGCCTATCCTTCTTGGTACTCTGCTGAAAAAGTTTCAACAGATTAAAACATAGTCAAAGGAAAAATATTATCTCCAGATATGTTCAATAACAGAGGATATGATAAAATAAAGGAGATACGATCAAAAGAACAATTTACTCAACTCTGGTTATCTTTCCGCCAAATTATGACTTCCCCCTCCCTAAAGCAACCAGTTTTAAATGACCAAATTCCTGGGTTTCATCTGTAACTTCTGGAAATGAATGAATTATCCATCCATCTGAACCTTTCCTTCACTACTTATTGGGCTAATGTTGGGGGTCATCAAAAGATTTTTCAGACAAACAGGTAAATGAAGAAAACACTAACATGTTCTGGACTGGAAGTTTCTGTAAATATTTCTGCCTTCTCTCAATAAGCTATAGAATTGTACAAATTACTCAGGGCTCTACAGTGCAGGTCATGATCCTATGAATAGGATACAGAACTCAGGAAAGAGAATATTTGACAAACAACCCTAGAGGTTTTGGTCTGGACTAAGGTGGCTTCTGACCTAAAGCAGGCTTAAGGAGTCCAACTGGTCTTAGGAATATTTAATATTTCAGGTCTCTACTTCTTTCTATCCCTTTTAAGTTTTAGAAAGCTATGATTATATAATATTGAAGTGTGAGGTTGGGAGGCATAAATACACCAACATAAATCATGTTTTAGATAAGAACTGGAGAAGTTACAGGGGAGAACTAGAATGTGTCTGAAATCCTACTTTATATTAATAAGACACACCATGAGCATGCAGCCTAGTCAATCAGAGGGTGTGAGAGCTCAGAAGAGACAGAGAAGAGCACCCAAAACATAAAGAGGCAAGTATAGGACATATGGGAAATAATAACAGGAACTAGATTCTTATAGGCTGGAAACCAGCGACCAATGGGATTCAGTCTTCAGGGAAATAAAAGGTTGGTATACAGAGGACTATGGGTAATCAATTGCTTCTCTTCTCAATGGAGGTCAAGGCATTGCTAACATGGCTTCAGGGACAACACAGGTATTCTACCCTAGCTATTTGGATCAACTTCTTGATACAAAAAAAGATACACTGCAACAGACTTCTGATGGAAGCTACAAAATCTTCAGTCTCCTTTGTGATATCTTCAAAATGAAAATGGACTTGATATAGTTCTGACCAGACTCCTGAAAGTCCTACCCAAACATGAAACTCTGTGGTTTAGCTGCATCCAGGATCTCATATGGCAGATAACAAAAAAACCTTTCAGCATTTTTCACTTCCTTGAAAACAACTCTCACCTACACAGGAGGATCTTAAATGTTGCTGGACATAGCAATCCCATAGCAATAGACTTGACATACTGAAGAGAGCTCCATTTTTAACTCAGACAATTTATGTTCTCCACTTTATTTAAAGGAGAAGCTGAGACACATAAAAGGAGAGGAATGGTCTGGTCAAGTTAGAGGCAGAGATGAGAACAGGATCCAAGTCTTTAACTTATTTATATTTTTAAGCTTATCTTGGAAATTATACTTTATAGCTAAGAAAAGATCCCATGAGTGAGATCAGGGTAGGGTTGCTAAAGGGGCATGAGGAAGAGATCATCATCAAAAAGTCTTCCTGAAGTCATCAGTCCTCCCCTTATGTGGGTTCTCTGGGGAATACATGGATGGAGGATGTGGCAGCTTTTCTTTCACATGGACCTCCCGATGTTTGGTCAGAACAGAACTCTTACTGAAATGTTTACCAGAGTGGGCATACCCATAGACCTTTTCTCCAGTGTGCACTCTCCGATGTTCTCGAAATCGTGTACAGTTATGGAAACTCTTTTCACAATCCATGCATTTATAGAGATTCTCACCAGTGTGGACCCTGCGGTGGGCACTGAAATGAGAACTGTTGGTGAAGCTTTTCCCACATTCTCCACACTGATAGGGTTTCTCACCTGTGTGGGTTCTCTGATGTATGATGAGACTTGAGCTCTGACTAAAGCACTTTCCACACTCTCCACAGCTGTAGGGCTTCTCCCCCGTGTGGATTCTCTGGTGAGCACCAAAGTTTGAGGAATCATTAAAGCTTTTCCCACAGTCAAAACATTGAAAAGGTTTTTCTCCCGTGTGGATTCTTTGGTGTCTGATTAGGCTTCTGCTTCTACCAAAGCACTTCCCACAGACACTACACTTATAAGGGTTTTCCTTCTGGTGGGTTATCCGGCACAGAAGACGAGTACTCCTTCCAAAGCTTTCTCCATACTTGAGAAGTCTGTAGGGCCTCTTTCCCATGAAAGGCCTCTGATGCACTACAGCTTTCCCTAAATCTCTAGGCTGAGACATCGGCTTTCCCTGTCTGATTCCTTGACGGTTTTCCCATTGTCTTCCTGAGATGCATTCCTTTTCATGATATTTACCTGAATTAGTATTCTGGGAAACAACCCTTTTGGACTTTTCTATTAATGGCCTGTGCTGCTCTGTATCCTTAAATATTATCTGCATTGCATCCTCCTTGATACTGGCTCTAATTTCAAAATCTGAAAAAGAGACAATAAAAATTTCATAGTGTGCCCATATTAACATAAACATGGCCTTCATGGCTTCGTCTAACAGATTTTAGATCCCTGTACACTTTACTCTCCCCCGATTCATTATACCTTCTTTTCATTCGGTTCCAAGGACAGCCAATATTAACACCTAGTTCAAATGTCTCAGTAAATGTCTTCTGAATTGAATTGTAACCCAAGCCATTATTCCTCATCCATATCCTGATTAACTTGGTTTATCTCCCTAAAGATCCACTCTAATTCGTCCTGCTTTCAACATTTCACTTCTATACTAAAATACACTAATGTGTACAGGAGGTTCCAGTGATCAAGCCCAAATTCCCCAATGAAGTTTAAAGTTCATCAATATCTAGTTATATCCTACCAAAGAGTACTTCTTCTCGAATGTTCCTGTTATTTTGTTTTTCTTGCTGTCTCACACACAGACCACATTAATTCAACCTTAGTTCTCACTGTTCCTCAAAGTAGAAAGATCTTTTCCTCACTCTTTCACCTACAGCTTGTGTTCACTATGAGGTACATCTTGGACCCCAGCTTTTCCAAAAAGTTCTCTGGGTAGAGAGCATAAAATGTTGAAGAGATACAATCTTTGGAATCAGTTCTGGTTCTGACTCTGTCCCAGTCACTCATTTATGTGGTTTTGTATTAGCTTTTTACTATGAAAAATTCAAACATACAGAAAGGTAGATAATTGTATGTACGATGAACTTCCATGAACCAGTCACCAGCTTTAACAATAGTCTCTCATTGACAATCTTGCTTCATCTCTATTCCCACACACTCCCTGTTTACTCTACCCAGATTATTTGGAAGCAAATTCGAGGCATTGTAGTGTTTCATCCATAAATATTTCACAAGCTTTGTAATTTAGGCTAAATCCAGGCTTGGCTGATTATGAAACCCTTGTTTGTAAGCATTTTGTTATACTGCCTCATTTCTACTTACCAGTTTCAACATTACTTTCCTTCCACATAATTTTGTTGAAACTGCTGTTATCCCTCTATCTCAAGTAGGGCAGCTGTGGCATGGACTGTGGGGAGGGGGAAGCCATCAATTAATCCATTAACTTAAGTAAGAAGCCCTGACAATGTCACTTTTCACTTTGCAGTTCTTTTAAGTGTTCTGATCGGGTCTAACATTGTTTTGGGGTCTGGAGGAAGTCGCAGCCTAGTAGTTGGCTCAGACAGAGCCAGATGATTTGATGACAGATCTGGAGTTCAACTTAAAAAACAAGATTAACATGAGATGATATCACAGGACTTTGTTTTGAGTTATCAAAACTAGGGTTATGGGAGAATCAGGATGGCAGAGGAGTGAGTGGAAGTCACACGGACCTCCTCCCAGGACCAACCTGGAATTACAACTAAATGGTGGAGAAATCACCTGTAACAAACAACTGAACAATAGCAAGAGAGGAACCTTATAACCTCGGACAGACGGAAGAATCAGCTTTAGCAGAACCTAACTGGTAAGGAGTGTGGTAGAGACTTGAGAAGGTGGGCGGGGTGCCCATGGGCGGAAGCACCAGAAGGATATTGAAATGGCTAGTTGGATCCCCCTGACAAGAATGGGGTCTAAAACATTAGCGGGCATCTCCAGCCTACAGCACCAGAGCCCAAAAAGTACACGGATAACAGCCAGTTGCGAAAAGCAGTAGGGTTTCTGTCTGCCAGAGACAGGCAGCTGGAGATGCAAAGAGCCGTTTAAATGGCCCATGCAAAAATTTCCATTTGCAGTCACTGACCCTGGTCTTCCATAAAGGAGGGGGCAGAGTGGGCTAGAGACACCTGAGGAGAGACTGGAGATGGAAGCTTTGAGGAGAGAACAGAGAGAGTAGCCAGCAGGATTCCAGTGCTGACTCACCCCCCAGACGGCAGGAGCCATCTGGCTCAGGCAGACCACTCCCCTGAGTGGCAGTAACAGGAGAGAACCCAATAAACCAGCCTCCAGGAGGGACTCTGTCCCACCCTGTGATGTCTCTAAGCCAGACTGCAGAGTGCAGATTGACTAGATTAACAGCTGAAGGAGAAAGCCACAAACAGTAGATTCCTGGAAGTCTTGAACAGACTGCCTAAGGTCAGACAGGGTCAACATCTGACATCAGCAGAGGCAGATCCAGAAAGAAAAAACAGCGGTCTCCTACCACAGAGGTTCACATCACAAAGTCAGGAAATCAAGAATGATCAACTTAAGAAGCAGAAGCGAAAAAAAAAAAAAGTCTCACGAATAATGGGAAGACAAAGAAATACACCCCACTTGAAGGGAAAGGAGGAATCCCCAGAAAGACAACTAAATGAAATAGAGGCAAGTAAACTATCAGATACTGAGTTCAAAACAATAGTTCTAAGGAAGCTCAATGAGCTCAGTGAGCTCAGAGAGAATTACCAAAAACTACAGGGAAACTATGAGGAACTTACTGTAAACTATATCAGTATGAAAAGGGACATAGAAACTATCAATAAGAGGCAAGAGGAAATGAAGAATACAATTTCTGAATTGAAGAACACAGTAGAAGGAATCAAAAGCAGCCTGGATGAAGCAGAGGATCAAATCAGTGAGCTGGAGGATAAGGTAGAAAATAGCTCCCAGAAAGAGCAAGAAAATGAAACAAGACTCAAAAGAATGAAGAGGCACTGAGGGAAATGCAGGACAACCTGAAATGTAATAATATCCATATAATAGGGATACCAAAAGGAGAAGAGGAAGAGCAAGGAGGAATGGAAAACTGTTTGAAAAAGTGATGATGGAAAACTTCCCTAACTGAAGGAGAGAAAAAGTCACACAAGTCCAGGAAGCACAGAGGGTCCCACTCAAGAGGAACCCAATGAGGCACACTCCAAGACACATCATCATTAAAATGGTAAATATCAAAGACAAACAGAGAATCCTAAAGGAAGGGAGAAAAAGGTAGTAACATATAAGGGAGCCCCAATACGACTAGCAGCTGACTTCTCAAAAGAAACACTAAAAGCCAGAAGGGAATGGCAAGAAATATTCCAAGTCATGAAAAGCAAAGGCCTGCAACCAAGGCTCTCAATTAAAATGGAAGTGAAAATAAGGACCTTTCCCAACAAAAGAAGGCTAAAAGAATACACCTCCACCAAACCAGCATTGCAAGATATGCTAAAGGGACTGCTTTAAGAAGATAAAGAAAAACAGTCTATGAATACCCAGTTCTTTTTAGTTACCAATACTTGATATTACCAGTATTTTTAATACTTATTAATCTGATTGTGACATTGATGTGTTATTTTGTTACTTTATTATTTGTTGAAACTATACCTGTTTCTGTATATTTCTTGCCTATTTCTATTATTTTTGAAAAGCTTTAAATGACTTTTTGGTATTCTTTATTCATTTTTTTATTAAATGTTTGTAGAATTTTTTCCCTTAAAAAACAAACCTTTTTTTAGATGTGTTGCAAATACTTTCCTATTCTATTACATGTCCTTTATCTTTTTTAATATGTATATTACTGTATAGTCTTAAATGTTTAATATAGTCATATTGTCAATATTTTACTTTACAGCTTCTGGGTTTGACTATTTTACTTCAGGGTAAGAAACATATTATTTTGCATTTTCTCCTAAAACTCCTTAGATTTTACATACTGATTTTTAACTCACCTGAATATTTGTTGTATAATGTGGGAAAGAGGGCTCTATATTTGTTTTATTTCAAGTAATAGTGATACATGCATATTATTTGTTGAATAAGCCTTATTTTACCCATTGATTTGAAATATCAATTTAATCATATATTACATTGTTAGACATATACATTTTTTCCTAGAATGCTCATTTTATTTCATTGATCTACATAATTATTTCTGTGCTGATGTCATGTTGTTTTAATTGCTGAGACTTTACGATGAATTTAAATTTTTTAATATTTTATAATGGATTTTGACATTTAAAAAATAAATAAAATCAATGTGCATTTAAAAAAGAAAGAAAGAAGGAACTTCTACCTTTTGTGACAACATGGAGAGAACTGGAGAATATTATGCTAAGTGAAATAAGCCAGTTGGTGAAAGACAAATACCATATGATCTCACCTCTAAGTGGAATCTATTCAACAAAATAAACTAATGAACAAAATAAACCCCAGGCATGGAAACATGGAGTAGACTGAAGTGACCAGAGGGGATAGGGAAGGAGGACAATGGTGGAAAGAAGGAAAAGGGACTAAACAAAGAACATGTATGATTGACCCATGGACATGGACAACAGTGTCAGAATTGACTGTGGGAGTCTGGGCAGGGTGGGATGTGTGGAGGAGGGCAAAGGGGGAAAATTGAGACAACTGTAGTAGAATAAACATGATTTAAAAATAAAATTTAAAAAACCCCCCAAAACTAGGGTTATGTATAACTTACAATTTCTGCCTTCATACTACAATTTCCCACATAAATACTACCAAAGAGCATGCGGAGGAATTTCCTCCTTCTCTAATGTTTATTTTGAATGAGCATAGAGTTTTGGAAGGGAAATAATAATGGGTAAGGACAGAATGATAACAGCTCAGATTAAGGAAGGCTGCGGGATGTCAATAAAGACTGATATAGAAAACTGGTTTGGAGACCTTTACAACAGTCTAGGCAACTGACACAAAGACTGAACTAGGGTATGGGACAGGATAGAGGACAGATAAAAGTTTTACAATAATTGGGGGAAAAAGTGTTACTGCCTGGGTGCAAATAATGACACGGCATCAAAAATATCTAGTTTTTAGTCTGGATGGCCTATGGGAGGACACAGGAAAGAGCCATGGTGTGGGAAGGAAGACAGTGATTTTAGTTTTGAAAATTTTAAATCTGATGAGACGTCCACAAAGGTTTCCAGCAGTCAGTGGGAATTACACAGGATGAGCTGAAAACCAGGATAAAGCCTATCTCTCTCATTTGATTTCTGCCGGTGCTTTTTTTTTTTCTTTCTTTCTTATGCACATCACATATCTGGTTGACATTTCTGTTTTGGGCTTACTGACACACCTCCTTCAGCTGAGCTTTTCCTTATGTATGATTTCAAAATTTCTTCCCCGGAGTATTTGCAGGAGATATAAAACACTGCTTGACACATATGAAAAAACTGAGACTGTGATCCCAAAGAACAAATCACTAGAACATAAGCTACTTCCTTGAAAGAAGCACCATAAGCAAAGAGACTGTTCTGTTTATTGCTATATCCCCTGTCCTTCAACAACACAGGACACTCAAATATTCACTTAATGAATAAATACACCCGAATGACATGCCAGATCTACTAATTTTTTTCAGTAAATCACATTTACTCTCTTTTAGACCACATCCCCTTGATGATCCTTACCACTTGGGCTTTGCAGTAGACCTGGAGGTCCCTGGAATTCTGACTCTTGTACAACTTCCTCCTCACTCATTCTCTCACTGCCAGAATCCTCTACTATTGCCTCTTGTGAGGGTTCTTCAGGTTCCCAGCCTGTATTTTCCTGGGGTTCAATATCAATATCCTCTCTTTCTTGCCTTGAGAGTGGTAGGACTTCTTCTGGGGTGTTGGTAGAGGGGATGGATGCCTGAGAGTTTATTAGGGCATCCATTTCCTTGTAGAAAGCACAGGACTCTAACACATGACCATTTTTCACTTTGCGGTAGCTTTTCTGAAGGCTTTTGAACTTGGTCCTGCATTGTTCTGGTGTCCGGAGGAACCCACATTCCCGCAGTTGTTCAGCCACAGCCCCGTACAATTTGCTTTTCCTATGACAAGACTGAAGTGCTTCATAAAACCGAGTCTCGTGGAGGATGTCAAGAAAAGTCTTGGTCTCCTCATAGCCCCAGTGTACACCTGCCATTCAAGGATAAAGTTCTAAGTTACAAGAAAAGGAGTCTGTCGCTGCTATACAATAGTACAACGTATAGGAAATAAAAGAAAGCAAAACCCATTCACAGTAGCAACAAGAACTATGATATACTTGGTATAAGCTTTGCCAAAAATGAGGTCTGTATAAAGAAATCTATGATGTTTTATTAAGAAATGAAGAGATATTATGTTTCTGGCTAGGAAGACTCAAGTTATAAAAATATCAATTCTCAGATTAATCTATAAAATAAAAAATTCCAATAGGATTTTTAACTAAAATCAATAAACTAATCTGTTTACTTGGTAGAATGAAAATGCAGTCCCCCAATCTGACATTGCTCTGGTGATTAGTTAAGTCCAGTTAAGAATAATGGACTGGGACACCCAGTAGGATATTTTTCCCCAAAATTCCTATCACTTTTTAAACCACTCTTCCTTGAGAACAGAGCTATGTTCAGAGTAGTTCTTGACATTAGTGAGTCCTCTCTTCTATTTTGAGAGATGAAATGTTCTGTAGGACAAACAGGTGTTCTGCTTTTACAGCAGAATAAAACTTTTTAGGATATGTGGGAATATAGTTAAACTCTGCTTTTTATGTCTTATAAGTAGGAAGAAGTCATTTCTATCCTCATTTTACTGGTGGTCTCTTCCACTTCCATCATTGGATTTTCATATATGAGACCATTCCATGAGTCCCACCCTCATGTCTATGGATTTCCAGACTGGTGAATACCTGTGCATGTATAACGCATCTTCCCATCTTTTTTTCTGAGATCTAATTCTTTTGAACAGGTACAGCCATATGTACACATCCAGCTCTCCTGCCTGGTTTATTTTTCTGTTCTATCTAAAAACTTACCCTTTTATAAGATGGAATAGAGACCTATTACTAATAACAGTGATACCAGGCAATGTTTTATTGCATTTTAACATTTGTAGAATGCCTTCATGTCCATCATCTCATTTGATTACTCTGGCATTCTCAGTCATACTTTACAGATAAGAAAACTGAAGCTCACAGTACTTACATGATGTGTCTACTGTCACACAGTTATTAACAGGCATTTTAGTCCTGCATGTTCCAGCCTCCAAATTACACCACCAGTTTTCTTTTATATGGTATATGGTATGTTTTCTTCTATCCTTTAAATTTCAATGTCTCTGTGTTATTATATTTAAGATATATCCTTGTAGGCATCATATAGTTATTTTTTAAGTGTATGACAGTCTTTTAAGTTTGTAATTAAAGATATATTTGGATTTATAGCTACCTTTTTCTCTCCTTTCTCATCTTCTTTTAGAATTTTTTTACTTTTTTTTTTGTTATACCGTCTTTCACTAGTTATTCTAGATAGTATAATAATGTATCTTTGACTTACTACAATCTAATACACTTGACTGCTTTATACTCCATAGTATCTCACATTATATTAGGTCCTTAGAGACCTCTAACTCCATTTCTCTTCTTTCCACAGGCCCTAAGTACTCAAAATTCATGCTGTGCTCTAACCTCAAAAAGAACCCTCCATGGCCACTCAGTGCTGTACTCAGATTGCTCTGGGGGCAGCAACAGACCTCTGAATACTTCTAGCTGTGTGACCAGTCACAGTGATTGGAGTTGCCTCCAATCACTCCTCAGGATTACTCCTTTTTCCACAAGACACTGTATCATCCATTTCCAAACCAAACGAAGAGCACAATTCTTACCACTCAGGTTCTGAAACATGACGGGGTTACCACGAATCTCAGCCTTCTGGGTAAACTGGATGCCCATTTCCTCACCATCAGATTCTTCTGTGGCTTCTTCCTCTATCAAACTGATCTGTTCTTTAGCACTGATACCAATTCCTTTTAGTCTAGGGAGAGACACAGTCTCCTTTGGCTTGTCAGTAGATGATGCATGGGCTGCAGGGTTCAACAATGCGTCCATATCCTCAAAGAAGGCACAGGGCTCAAGCACGTGGCCATTTCTCACTTTTCGGTAGCTCTTCTGGAGACTTTTGAACTTAGTCCGACATTGTTCTGGGGTTCGGAGGAAGCCACACTCTCGCAGCCATTCAGCTACAGCACCATACACTTGGCTGTTTCTGGGACAAGCCTGAAGTGTTTCATAAAATCGGGACTCTTTGAGAATTGCAAGAAAAGTCTTTGTTTCCTCATAGCTCCAATGCACACCTGCTATCTTTTCATCTTCTAAGCCCCACTGTTGTTGCTCTCTCCACATCTTTCCTGCACTCCTTGCAGGAATCTGAATAGTATGAACTGACTTTTCCTTGATGTAGCTGCTTCGTAGAATACTCCTTTTATTAGAGGAATGTAGACCTACAGTCCATGGCTCCTTTCTTTGCTCCACCTGAGCTACCTTGTTAGAAGTAGATACTGCACTTCCTATAATAAGAGAAATACACTTTATACTAGACATAGAGGTCATTCATTACTGCATGCCCCAACCTTCTCTTGGCAGTGTGCTCTCCTGGACCATTGTTCACACCTATCCTTCAAAAGTCTTGTCCAATCACCATTTTTCTAAGGCCCTTCTCAACCATGAGAGTGCACACTGTAGTTATTATTACACATGAGTTTTCTGGCACAATCATCTACTAATTTACACTCTCATTTTATTTCCCATGTACATACCATTTATTTCCCCAGCTGGTTCTTAAAGGAATACCTTTAAGGGTAAACAACATATTGTATTACCTTTGATTCCCTCACAGTACTTAATACTGAATTAAGTTCAAAGTATGCTCCTAACCAGTGTTTGTTTCTTTTACAATGAAGTGTGCTTATATCTGTTTGCCATATCTCCTCACCCCAACAACACACACACACATATACTGAACTATGAGAGATGGGAAGTCAAGAATTTCTGGACACATCTGGCAAGCTAAATAGGAGAGCAATGTAAGAATAGGGAAGCAAACTTAAGAGTATGTTACCTTATAATACCATAGAAAGAAATCTGTCTTAAATGTGTATGCTGGCTCTACCACATCACTTTATGACCAGAGAAGTTTCTTAATCTCTCTCAGCCTCAATTTCCTAGGGAATAATATCATTTACTCCCTGGTGCTAGGAAAGTGGTGCTAGGAACATTAAATAAACGATCATCTGTAAAGTGTCCAAATGCTCAGTAAGTTTGTAATAAAATTTAGTTTTCTAGTTAACACACAAAGAAGCTTCAGGGTATTTTCCTAGATAAACAGCATCAACTCAAACACCTTCAGAAAGAACACTGGGATTGGAGGTTTGCTCTTTATTTTTACAGGGGAGAAGTAGGTGTAGGGAAAATGAAAGCTCAGTATCTATAAGGACAAGGCTGGCAATATAACTACATGAGATGGCAGGAGTCAGAACAGTGGCAGTTCAGCACAAGCTCCCTTATTCTTTGGGAGCCACTGTGGGTCCATGGTGCCTTGCATTGAATTTTTTAAGAGATACTGGAAATCCAGACTTACAATCTAAATTTAAATTAAAACGGTGCAAGGCCAAAATACATGTACAGGCTAGATTCAGTCCATGAACTATTAGTTTACAATTGGTGATACAAAATTGGGGCAAGTCTCTGGGCCTGGGCTTTTAATACTCTATAATTATATGTGAAGGTGCCTTCACATATAAGTATAGAATATTAAAGTACGTATTCTTAAAGTATATCAAGTTATAGAGTATTAAAGTATGTATTTACTTTACTTTATGGTTCCTATCCCACTCATGCAGCATTTACTAGATCTGGATGCTGTGTGATCCAAGACAACACTAGGAAACATCCATTGTGTACACAACTAGGTAAATGCCTAAATGCACACAACTAGCTGGGATACCTGCTGTTTTGGGAACAGTGCTTTGTTACTGATATGTCATCAGTTGGTCCTAAGTTGGTCATTTAAAAAAACTGCTTTCTATCAATATATAAACAATTGTTGATGTATTTTATTCATTGTTTGACACTGCCCATTTTATAATCTCTATACTTTAGTGTCTATATGTAGTGTTGTCCAACAGAACTTTCTAGGATGATGGGAATGTTCTATAACTGTACTGTCCAATACAGCTACTGAATTCCTGAAATGTGGACACCATGACTGAGGAACTGGATTTTTAACTTTATTTAATTTTATAAATGAAACAGCCATGTGTGACTAGTGGCTACCCTATTAGACAGCACAAAGTATCTCTTGTGTATATTAGTGCACATTTTAGGCCTATAATTTTATTTATAAGTACTCTTTGACTTGTGGCTTACATATGAATGAATCACATTTAGCCCTACTGCTGAAGCAGAAGTTTGCTGTTCATGTTCAGTGGTGATGTGTGCCTGTAAATTTGTGCTATTTTAAGTAATTCACAAGATGCTATTGAGGTTATTGTATGAAATTTTTTTTCTTCCATTGATAAGATTTCCATTCACCCAACAAATATTTGCTGGGCACCCACCCATGTGTCAGGCTCTGTGAAAATTGTTGTGTTTACTATAGTTAAACAAAAACAACCTGTCAATGTGTGTAAGTTTATATTTAAGTAATATGAATGATAGCTATATATAATACTTCTCCAATGTTTTAATCACTAAATTATAAGAATATATATGTAAATTTTAAAATAGAAGAAAGGGATGAGTGAGGCAAGAGAGCATGGGTAAGTGATTATGAGGTCTGGTAAGCTAGAGTGAAAAATGATTAGACAACCTATTAAACTCCTTTGAAGTGTTACCATCTACAACTATTTTATTATCAGCAGAATGAATATGTTAGACATCCCCAAATCTCTTATCTGAAAAGGGAAAGAATCCTTACCCAGGGAGACTATGCTCCCAACACTCTCTTCTCCAATACTCTGATAGACATCTCTGTGAGCAGGAATCTGATGCATAGTCTTTTTGTAGGAAAAACCTCTCATCATGTGGACATCTTTCACTGGCCCCTGCAACAACACTAACAGCAATGACTACCAAGATAACCATGTGGGTCATCAAAGGATGAACAATACTGAATGAAGCACAGAAGGGCCTTAAAGAATTAAAATCAAGGAACCAAGTGTACGACAAGGTCTGTCCAGAAAAAATCCAGCCATTTTTTTTAATATAATGAGAATGGTTTGCATGACATCAAACTAACCTGACAGCCAAGGAGAGTGGACTGGAATGCGCATGTGTGAGCAATGATGACTTCACTGTTCTAGTCAGCAGGGATGGTAAATACCATTGGGTAAGCATGGGTACTGTGTGGCCATTACATTCAAAATGACTGAGCAAGTAGAGCAATGAATCTGCATCAGATTCTGCAGTAAGCTTGAACATTCCTCTGCAGAAACTATCTGGATGGTTCAGAAGGCTTTTGGGGATGATGCAATGAGTGCAGTGCAAGTAGAAGTGTGGCACAAATGCTTCAAAGGTGGTTGAGAATCTGCTGTAAGTGATCCATGTCCTGGCATGCCTGCAACAAGCAGAACCTCTGAGAATGTTGAATGTGTACAGGCTATGATCAACAAAGATTGGTGGCTGACAGTTTGAGAACTAGAAGCTGATCTGGAAATTCAAAAAACTACTGTGTCTGATATTTTGATGCAGGATCTTGGCATGAAGTGTGTCATGGCAAAATCTGATGTATGGCTTCTGCTACCAGAGCAGAAGGAACATTGCGCTACAGTTGCTAATGACTTGATTCAAACCGCTACTAATGAACCAGATTTCCTTAAGGAGGTCATAATCAGTGATGAATTGTGGGTCTACGACTATGGTCCAGAAACAAAGGACCAGTCATCCCAGTGGAAGTCGTCTGGTTCTCCACACCTGAAGAAGGCGTGATAAAGTCGCATACAGCAAGGTCATGACCATGTTAACTGTGTTTTTCTGATTGGGAAGCTATTGTCCATCATGAGTATGCACTTCCAGGCCAAACAAGGAATAAGGAGTGCTACCTTAATGTTTTCCATCGGTTGAGAGATGCAATACAATGAAAACAGCTGCAGCTGTCGGCAACTGGTGATTGGCAGCTTCATCATGACAATGCACCCACTCATGCATCATGTCTCATGCAGTTTTTTGGTGAAACATCAAATCACCCAGGTGACTCAGCTCCCCTACAGCCCAGATTTGAGGCCCTGAGACTTCTGGCTTTTTCCAAAACTAGAATCACCTTTGAAAGGGAAGAGATTTCAGACTATCGAAGAGATTCAGGAAAATATGACAGAGCAGATGATATCGATTCAAACAAAGGATTTTGCAGTGTTTTGAGCAGTGGAAGAGACAGTGGATTAGCTGTGTGAGGTCCCAAGGTACCTACTTTGAAGGGGACTGAGGTGTCATTGTCCTATGTACAATGTTTTTTGTATCTTGTATCTTCTTCAATAAATGTCTTTTTTCCCCATTAGATGGATGGATACTTTCTGGACAGACCGCATCCATTATGTGACAAATGAAGCAGAAGATACTACAAAGAATCCTAAGAGAGATGATCCATCATGGTGTCCCATTACTCAGAAAAGGTCCAGTCTCTTCTGGAAAAGGAACAAGGGAAAAAAGGTCTCTTACTGGGAGTATAAAAATCTGAGGGCTGTGAAGGCCCAGGAAGGAAATCATTGTGACTGAATACCCTAGAAAGGAAGACCAGGGAGAACAATACAATTTACCTGAGACCCAACAGGAAGTTTCATTTTTGTTACTCCCTGATCTATGGTGTTCCATTCTTCAGCAGGGATGGGAACCCAGGGAGAAAGCTGAGCTTGAAGAGAAAGAAACAATTAGTATTCTGGCCCTTTAATTCATGCTGCTTCTTTTAAGAAATGAGTGTCTAAAAAAAAAGCAACAAATACAAACTGATCATTTTCTCAATGAGTTCAGAACTATGCTCAAAACCATGGTAACCTAAAACAGGACTCACAAATGCCAGTGCTTTTAGGGCATAGGCAAACAGAGTACATCATGAAAGGGGCCAGGTAAGGCATGTGGGAGCACATGTTGCATTTGAAAGGGTACAGCAATTGATGCTGTACCCACTTGATGCCTTCTTGTGAAACTATGGCCCTGGTATAGCTGAGCTTCTAATTTTTTCAAGAGAAGCCAGAAATCTGAACGTCTGTGTGAAATGTCAAAAGTCTTAAAACTTGAGAACTAAAAACAAACAAACAAAACCCCTAATCCAAAAACCCTTTGTAGATTAAACAAAACAAGTCTTACTTGGCTCGTGAGCAACCAGTTTGCAATCTCTAGCCTAAATTATTCCCTTTTAGTATGCTAAAGAAGTTAACTGGTCCTGGATACTACAGATAACACACCCCTCAAAAGATGGAATGAACATATATATAGCACAGTCTGTGGTCAAACTTCTACTCTAGAACTGAATATCTAGAAGAAACTTCCCTAATAAATATTACTGTGACCAAGAATTCAAATGCTTGCTCCATTGTTTTCTACAGAAGCAAAGTGAATCACTTCCTTGGAAACTTATTATTCCCTTAGGCACACATGGCTGAAATCACAGGTCTTCTTTTAGATTTCACCTTTTTGAGATATCTATCCTTCAAATTTTCTGTCCTCCATACCCCAAGTACCTCAACAGAACAAACCTTTCTTTTTTAAGAATTCCTTATCACCCTGAAATGGCAGAATCAAACAACACCAAGAATTTACTAGACTGAGTTTATCAGCTAAAGTAACTGGGAGCATTTAATTCACCTGACCAGGGAACACACACTAGAAAATTCAGAAACCATTAATATTTGTAGTGCATTCTATCATAACATGAATTTTAGGAGAGATAAGGAAGTGGGGTATGAGTAGTAGATCTTGCCTCTTGGTGAGGGGTTCTTTAAGTCAGGCAGATTAGAAGTTTAAAAATAAATCTGCCATGGTCTGCACTGGTCTGAGTTCTTACCATTCTTAGGTAAGGGCCGATGTTCTCTCTTTGGGTTCAGTTCCTCCTGGTGTCCTGGGTGTAGGTTTCCAGCTTCTTCCCGAGACATCATTTTGGGTTGGGTCTCTGGTTGAAAGCCTGCCACATCCCATACTGCTCCAAGTGGGGCTTGCTTCTCTGAGTGCACAGGACTGCAAACCTGGGAAATAAAGCCAAAGTCATAATAAACTCCCCCAGGAAAGATATCAAAAAAGAATAAAAAATGTGAGAAGGAATAAAGATTTCAGTCTATTCTCAATGGAATCTCCAAGGGCATTGGGGTAATAGTACGCACCGTAAGTATGGACACAAGGGAATGGTGAGTGCTCTTTATTAATATACAGAGAGGGAAATCTGCCAGGCATGAAATACAGAGACTTCTTGTTTAGAAAAGATATCATTTGAGTTCTCATAATGACAATGTGTGAGGTGAATCAGAACACAAATTCCCTAATGGGGAACATAATCTCCACATTTAATGTCTGTCCTTTACCAAAACAGAAACATGCTAGTAGTCAGATCTTTACACAAATGCAATCCTGCAAATCTTGCAGGATTTCATGAGGTTAATGGAAGGGCTGTTGAAAAACAACTAGAAGACCATGCAAAGCCACTGACAAATGAACACCTGGCAGTTAAACTGAAGAAGAGTGATGGGATGATGGCCTTGAGGTCACTTCAGAAGACACTGATTGGAATATTAAAGGGTAAGAGAAGACCCTGGGATAACTGCTGAAGTCCTTACTCCCTCCTCTCCTCCCCCCACAGCCCTCTTTAGGACCAAGCTGCAAAAGTCAAACTCTGTGAAGCATAAATTTTTTCACAGAATTTTTGGGGAAACATTATGCCAAAGCCTTGAAACAAATATTTAGATGAATAGTTTAGTTTCATTTGCAAGATACTATTTCAAACAAAGCTTCTGTTCTACTTTATATGAAATTCTGATCCCCTTGCAAGTGGATTCACAGCAAAGGTCTTTCATTAGTACATACCACTATCCTTCCATAATGAGCACTTCCTGCAGTGTACACATGCCTTACCTACCCCTTTCTCAAAAAAAAAAAAAAAAAAAAAAAACAACAACAAAAACAAAAACAAACAAACTTGGAAAATGCCCTCTCACCTGCTGTCTAAGTCTTCCAGCCTCTTTCTCCAAATGTATCACCAGGGCCACGGCCTCCTCGCCACTTTCCGGACACTGGTTCCGTGCCCACGCCTGAATCTTCTCCGGTAAAATGGTGAGAAACTGCTCAACGACCAGCAACTCAAGGATCTGCTCCTTGGAACGCATTTCTGGCTTCAGCCACTGGCAGCAAAGTTCCCAGAGTTTACTGAAAGCTTCGTGGGGTCCGCTCACATCCTCATAACAAAAATGCCGAAAGTATTTGCGAAAGGTCTCAGATTCTGAGCTCCCCGGTCCTTCCAGACCCAGCTCTGATGCCCACCCGGGGTTCTGCTCCACCTTCATTATCAGGCACCCCTCAACCTCCAGGGGAGCGTCCGTCTGAGAGTCCATGCTCCCACTCAGGGGTCAGCCTCACGTCCAGCTCAAAGTAGACTCAAATAAACCACACCTCTTAGAGCAACCTGCTTCATGGACACGTGAGGAGGTCGGGAGGGAATACGGCAGTGTCAGCCGGACAGGTACTCCAGGTTGATTAACCAAATTAATCAAATACCCTCGACAGTCGAAACGGTAAATGTGTACCCTGAAGTCCCCAAACTGGGCCTTCTCTCCGAATAAGATGTGTTTCCGCGATGTGGCTGTTCAGGTTGCATTTCTTTTAGCGCCGTGGAGGACGTGGCGAGGCTGGAGGGCTGGGAGAAAAATCAAAGGGACTGAGGGAAGGGTGGTGGGCGGGGGCACAAAGCCATGCCCGGAGGGACTGCGTCGGACACTCAAGGTCGGGTAGGGGTGAGTCGAGGACCCCTGTGGAAGGCGCCGGATGTGGGGGCCCCGCCCGGCCCCGGGTTCTAGGCTCGGGGACGGAGGCGCGCCCAGGCCGCTGCGGCGGTCGGTGCCGGTCGGCGGTGTCTGGGGCCAGCGCCGAGTTTCCGGGCCCTAGGCAGCTTGGCCGTCCTCACGAAACCTCCGCACGCCCAGGAAAGGCCGCGAAGCGGTTCCGCCTCTGAGAGGAGAACAGCTGCGGGGACCAAGTCAAGCCTCTCAAGGGGCGGATGTTGAATCCCCACACCCGGCCGCGTCCACTCCTCCCGCGGACTGCGCGGGGCGCGCTGGGAGCCGCGGCCACGCATGCGCCTCCCGCAACCTCGCGCCGCGGGGCCTAGATACACTTTCTCGCTGGCAACGGGCTGAGGTGGGAGCAGGCTGGATGTTGGAGTCTCGCGAGAGCGCGTATCGCAGGAATCGTCGACGAGCGGCTTCGGGAACGAGCAGGGGTGCTGGAATAGGGCGCGGGGACACAGCGGGACCTGGTGGACAATACGGAAAAGGGCCACTGGGGGTCCTCCCTCACCCTGGGTTATCTGGGAGGCCCGGGGACGTCTCCCAGTTGGAGGCGCACCACTGGGGAGGAGGTACAAAGCCCTTCCCGCAGCGGAAGAAGGGCTGGCGGAGGGACATGCGTAGGGTTGTTACTCCCAGTCTCCGTGATGTGCTGGCAGGCCTTCTGCAGGCCGCAGCCCTCGGGAGGGCCTGCGGCGGTCCCGCTTTTTTCGCGGGGAAAGCGGCTCTTGTTCTGCGGGACCACCTGTGCGTAGCTCCATACGTTCGGAGGAGCAGGGTGAGGCCGCTTCTTGGCCTTGGGAGTTCTGGCCACCCGGGCTCTGAGGGAGTGGTGTGGCTTGAACTCGTAGGAGGAGCTCTCTGCCCAGAGCGCCCCCACCGCAGGCCCTATTCACCCTTTTGGAGGTGGCGCCACTACCGGCTGCCTCCGTCTACCAGCTTCCGTGGAACCCCAGACCATGCAGTGCCCAGGCCTCCCTGCCTCCCTCCCTCTCTGTTGACCACAGGGCGCGTGGACTCCCAGTTTTAGGGGTAGAGAACCTATTGGGAAACAAAGCTTAGTGACTTCTCACATAAAATTTTAATTTTTTTTACTGCAGTTGACATTCAATATATTCGTTTCAGGTGTGTGAATCAGAGTGGCAAAGTCTTAGTTTAAACTGGTTGTGCACATTCTAGCAGCCTAGAGGCTGAGAGTGCCTTTTACAGACCAGGCATTCTGTGAGAGGGTCAGAGAAGCTAGGAAGCACATCGTGGAAGCCAGGGGTGGTCTTACTCAGCTTTCTTGTCTTTCATTTATTTATTTTTTCTTTAAAATAATGTGTATTGAGCACCTGTTTTATGCCAGGCATGGTGGTAGTTTGTGAGTACAAATAGGATCCCTGCCACCTCGGAGCTTACAGTGTGGTGGGAGAGGCAGGCATTAATGAAATAGAGAACAAACTAACGTACAGTTGCAACGGTGGAACAAGACACTGTGAACCTACATGTTTTAGAGGGAATTGACCTAGTCAGGAGGTCTGGGAAGCTTTCTTTGAGGAAGTAATGCTAGGGATGAGATTCAAAGCAGGAGTAAGAGATGGTTCTGTCGAGTCTAGTCCCATAGAAATCCTATAAAGCAGATAGGATTACCTTCACTTAAGAGTTAAGGACACTGACGTCTCAGTGAAGCCATATATCGTTGCCCAAGTTTACTTCAAATTAAGTGACAGCTCAGAATTCAGATTTAACTAAGAATAGGGTGTCATGTATAGTCCTTGCGCAATATGGTGGTTTTAAGAGAGGAAAGTGTCATAAGTAGCCCAGGGACATTAGAGACCTGGTGTCACAAGCTCAAAAGCACGAGGGACTCAGGCAGATAACAAATTGACTGAAGTAGGTAGCACATAAGACTAGGGAATGGTGGGGACTGCAGCATATTGGAGGCCACACTTTCTGCATAAATGAAACAGGTGAAATTATTGCACTTTTAAATAATTATCAAATACATTTATCTCCTCCACTAGAATGTTAGTTTAATCTTGAAGGATTTTTTTTTTTAAACCATGCATGCCAGGTGCTTAGACCACTGCCTCACAAATTGTTGACCCTCAACTTCATCGTCTATAGTCCATATACTCACAGAGGTTTTTCCTGTATGTACAGTTTCACAGCTTTTATAGCACTTCCACTTTCATTTTAGAATTTTACTCTCCAGGCTCTGTCAGCTCCTTATTTGCTTTTGACATGGTTGCTGCACGAAAAACTCCTACCAGTCCCCTCTCCCTGAATATTTATGTGTGTCTTCATTTAGGACCTCTCCACCCTCTTCATATTTTAGCTCCTTTCCATCCTGATGTGCCTGGCATCATATCTTGGTTCCCTCTACTTATCCAGCCCGTTTTGTATTTAAAAATGTTTTTGTTTTGTTCTCTTTTGGTTCTTCCCTAGAACTTTAGGTTTGACCTTGGATTCATCATTAAAAATGAGGCACCCCCTACACTCAGCCTCAGCTTCTGCAACTCTAGGCTATCCCAAGCTGCTTTTTGTCAGCCAGGTACATGAAAGATTTCATTTCTTAGAAGCTTCTCACCTAAGACATCTTGCTCCGGAAGAAAGTGATATGCCTAGGTATCTGAACTTCCTATTTCATCCCATGGGCTTGAGCAAGGCAAAATCTCAAATCTTTGTAGGACAGTTAGGACCCAGCCCCCTTTAGGCTGCTCTTAGAGCTGAGGTATTAGAGATTGCTCTTCATTATCTCTTAGGTGCAGGGTTATAAGATCTCAGTAACATGCATGCATGCACACTTACATATATGTATATTTAATGGAAATTTTCAAACATAAAAAAGTAGAATTAATTTTTATGTTTTCATCCCCCCAGCTTTAACAATTAGCAACTTGTAGCCAATTTTGTCTTCCTTCCCTATATGTCTACCTATACCCCTGATCCTGGATTATTTTGAAGCAAATCCCAGATATTAAATTACTTTATTTGTAACTATTAGAATCTATTGCTAAAAGGCAGAGACTACCATTTTAAACATAACTTCAATATAATCATAACCCCCCCGGCATAGAAAAATCCTTAGTATCTTTTTAAAACAGCTTATTTGTTTGAAAGATAGTTTGCAAAGGCAAAAAGGATCATAGGTACTAGACAGATACAAAGAGAAAGTTTTCTCTACATTTTCTAGGTAGGTGTTTTCAGTTACTTCAGCATGAAAATGTTGGCACCTTGGGAACAGAAAAGCATATTGTTGAAAAAGTAGTGAATTGCCCTGGCTGGTGCAGCTCGGTGGATTGAATGCCGGCCTGTGAACAGAAAGGTCGCTGATTCGATTCCCAGTCAGGGCACATGACCGGTTTGTGGGCCAGCTCCTCATTTGGGGGGCATATGAGAAGCAACCAATTAATATACCTGTAGCACATTGATGTTTCTCTCCCTTTCTTTCTCCCTCACTTCCCTTCTCTCTGAAAATAAATAAATCTTTAAAAAAAGAAAAAAAAAAAAGAAAAATTGAAGCAATATAGGTCAATATATGAAGATCATGCCACATGGAGACATCCGGGAAGAATGGTTATTTTCTTAAGACCCCATCCTCTGATTTGACCCAAACCCAGAGGAGCTCTCTTCTCATGATCCCCAAAAGAACATTCAAACCAGTCTTTCCTTGGTAAGACCTCTGATATCATAGCTGTCGTTTTACAAGCAGCCTTAAGAGTAGTCTTTTGATTTCACATCTAAGTAAAATCATATGGCATTTGTCTTTCTATCTCTGAGTTATTTCACTCAGCATAACACCCTCTAGATGCCAGATGGGTAATTGAAATATTTGGGTGATCACTTTGTAGTGTATATGATTGTCTACCACTATGCAATACCCCTGAAACTAATACAAAATAATATTGTATGTAAACTGCAATTGAAAAACAAAATTAAACATTTTATCATAGAAATGGCATTTATATTTATTTATTATTAGAAATACTAGCAGAAAAAGAGGATGTTTTTACACAATGCTCCTCTGTCCATGGTGCTGATCAACATACCCTTTGGTCGGCAACCAGAAGAGCTATAACTTGTTTTGGCCAATGGGATTGAACAAATGGTTACTATAAAATTAACATTAAATATACATTAAATAGTTTCAAGAAGTGTTGTCTGTGCCTATGCTAAATTAAAAAAGAGTCCAAACTGGAGAATTTCCTAGTAATTCTAGTTACCTCTTAATACTTTATATCCTGAAAATCCAATCCATATTTTTAAATATTAAAAATTGAAAGTGACTCTTCTGGCCAAGGTGGAGGCATAGGTAGATACACTTTGCCTCCTGACACAACCAGAAGAGGACAAGAACAAATTTAAAAACAAAACCAACCAGAACTGCCAGAAAATTGAACTGTTTGGAAGTCTGACAACCAAAGATTTAAAGAAACATTCATGCAGACTGGTGGGAGGGGCAGAAGCAGGCAGTCAGGGCAGAGAGGATGCATGGAAAGGCAGCAGCTAGAGGACTGGGCAGGTGAGGTGGTAGCTGGCAGACCAGGTGGTCTCACATTTGCGTGTGGATAACTTGGGAGGAACAACTGGGGAGTGAGACAGACCGTACAACCCAGAGTTCAAGTGTGGGAAAAGAAAGCCTCAAAACCTCTGGCTGTAAAAACCTGCTGGGGCTGCAGCAGCAGGAGATACTTCCAACCTCATAGGAGAGTTCATTGTAGAGACCCACAGGGTCCCAGAACATACACAAACACACCCACCTGGGAGTCAGCACCAGAAGGCTCAATTTACTTGTGGGTAGAGGAAGAAGTGCCTGAAAGTGGGGCAAGAGCTGAGCAAGCTGCATAGTTCCCTCTCTGACACCTCCATTATACATAGTGCCACAAAGCAGCAATGTGGGTTGCCCCACCCTGGAGATAACCTAATGTTCTGTCCCTTACAATGTTCTGTAAGATACAGAAATATGGCCCAGACCAAAACTCCAGAAAAAAGACAACTAAGTGATGAAGAGACTGCCATCCTATCAGATGCAGAGTTCAAAACACTGGTAATCAGGATGCTCACAGAAATGATTGAGCATGGGCACAAAAACAGAGGAAAAAATGAAGGCTATGCAAAGTTAAAAAAAATACACAGACAACCAACAGTAAAGGGAAGGAAACTGGGACTCAAATTAACAATTTGGAGCAGAAGGAAGAAATAAACATTCAACCAGATCAGAATGAAGAAACAAGAATTCAAAAAAATGAGGAGAGGCTTAGAAGC